AGTCCCTCTCTCTCAGCCCTAGGAAGAAGGCAATGGCAAACCACTTCTGAAATCTTGCCAAGAAATTGCAGGGACTTGTCAGGAGTCAACACTGACTCAAAGGTACAAACACACAGTCACCACCATTGCCATAGCATTCAGAAAGCTGATGAGCAACAACCAAAAAGCAGCAGCTATGACTTTTTTCTTCCTCTTAAAAAGCAAAACACCTTGCCAGTGTTTCTCCTGTTGTCCCGTCCATGTCTACCTACCACTCACTCTAGTCCTCCCACTGACTAAAAGCACAATTTTAAACTTGTTTCCTGTGTGACTCTCTGTGTTGTATTCCCTGGACCTGTGGCTCTTCCATCCCCAGTTTCTGCTGGCATAACCAGGTAGACATGTTCTTTGCAAACCACTGATTGCTGAACTGTAGATGAGGAACTCCATCCATTGTGGGGAGGGGGATCTTCTCTGCCCCCAACTTTATCCTTCATTTGTGTTAGATTGAATTTTTTTCTATTATTATTTAAACTAAATGCTCAGTTGAATTTGTAGATCCCTGACAATTATAGTCTTATTATTTTCATTGATGCACTTCTGTTAGGTTAATAAGGATAACAGAAACAAATGGTAAAACTGATTCTGGGACACTAACTTCTATGTACCATTACTGTTACATTACTGTTATATTTTTTGTATTTGTTATGGTGATTTTTTACGAAAGTTCAGTCTAGCATACTTAACTTGACACCCAGCCCTAGTTTTTACAGAATAAAACTGTTCATGAAAAAATACTAATGTGAATTCTAACTGAATAAGGAAGTAGGTCTGTCAATACACTATGATTTCTGTTTTAACTATGATATGCTGAATTTTGTATATATTACATTCCTGCATTTTATAACTTTAAAAGTAATTACTTTAAACAAAGAGTATTGATTGCTTATTTGAAATCTTCCTTACTCTCTCTCATAGCAGTTCAGAGAAACTGACATTACCTATGAAAAATAATTATTTTTTTGTATACATTCTGGTATATGTATTTTTATTCCTGACTCAATAAAGTTTTCTGTACTATATAATGGCATGAATGTATTTTTTTTGTGCTTTTATTTTTTTTTTAAGATAGGATAGAGTCATACCATTGGTTAGAGAAATAGAATGATGAGATTCTGAGGAAAGAGGTGTTAATGCCACGTGGCGTGCATCTTCTAACCTAGCTTTCTGTCTTCAGGTGTGATGAAGGACATATCTCATCACCATTGGAGAAGTAAGATACAATTGCCATTACAACTGGCTTCTTTACCTAGAAAGAGAAGCACCGGTAATGCATTGCCCTTCACATCAGGCAACATACCATCAGGTGCCAGCCCTGGGCAAGAGTAAATATTTTCAGCAACTAAATTAGATATTTAGCTAATTAAAAATAACATTGTGAGATGAAAATGGGTATCTGTTTTGTTCAGCTCTCTGCCAGTAATGCTAGGCAGATGATTGTATAATGTTCAGAAGCTAATTGGGGAAGGGAATACAGTTCCTTAACTACCAGCAGATGAGATGAGAAATGTTCTCTTAATATGTCCATTCATTGTTCAGCTATCAAAATTAGTAGCCACCGACAGGTAAATTTGTGAATTTACCAAAAAAGAATATTCTGTGGTAAGAGTCTCATGTATTTGTTATGGATTGTTTCCAGATTCAGTCATGCTTGAAGCAAGCCCGTTGAAATCAACAATTAAAGCTCCTTGAATTCAGTGGGTCCACTTTAAGTACTCTGAAATCTGGAAAAAAAAAATTAAAAAGTATTCTTCTTTGGCAATGTCATTAGACACTCGGTTTCAGTTTTTGTGTGCGCTTAGATGCTCCATCTTTAAATACTAATCTTTTCATTTCCAAACAAAATCCAAGGCATGGATTTACTTATTGATAATTTGGTCCACAATTATCTGGTAATTTTTAATTTCCTTTTTCTGCACCATTCACAAATCTTTAGTATCTCTCAAAAGTGCAAAATCAGAATCCAACACAGCAGCCTAGATGAACGCCATCAAGATGAATATAACAGCATTGTGATATTTGATGCACCATGTTCGCTCCCTTTCCTAATTTCCCATGATTGTTTGTTTATTGTTGTAGGGTATTGTATAGATTTTCATAAGCTTTCTGGGATAACTGCAGATTTAAATCTGTAAAATCCCATGCAGTGGTTTGCTTTAAGCATCTTCTGGTTTTGACCCCTCCCCCTCCAAAAGGCAATACTTCTTTTTGGGCAGTACCTCTTTAAAAATTAAAACTTGGCCTAGTGCAAAGAGCAGGAAGCCGAAGATGATGGCAGGCTGCTCTTTTCTCTGAATGATGGTGAACTGCTCCGATTGCAGCCCCTCATTTTTCAGTTGCACATAAGAAATTTCAGCAGGAGTGCAGGGAGTTCTTCCAATTCAGCAACGTGAGACCCTTTGCTTCCTTTGGAGGAAAACAGCTGGACAGGATGAGGAATAAGATTTCCCTTTGAAGCCCGATCACCCACTCCGCCCAGTATCTCATTAAAATGCCACATCAGAGGAAAAATCTGCATCCATCAGCTAACCCTGGTGCTGTTCAGCGCTTTGAAAAACTGGACTGTTTTTTGTTTTGCTGTTTGAGCAAAATGTCGGCCAGTAGTCCCAGTCTGTATTTACATGCAACTTTAAAACAAGAAAGGCAGTTTGGCTAACGGTCCTTGCATCTTGACTCTTCCTTACTGAGGTTCTATACTTATTTTCATTTCTTCAGAGGCAAAGAAATTTCTTGTAATAGTCTTGCAGTTGACTTTATTATTTACTAATGAAAGTGCAAGTCCATGAGATCTTTTTGAATTTCTTATTTGCTGCTGAAGCAGCATTTTTAATCTATCTGATGCAGCTTGGAAGATACATCATATTTTTTTTCCCAGTCAGGGAGTGGGGGGGGGGGGGAAGCCTGGTTTTCTGTACTTCTCCAGAATGAGAAGGCTGTGGTGTGATGATTTTCTACTGCTTGACTTCTCTGCACTAATAGCTCACTGGAGAGCAACACTGACAATGGGTTGCTGCAGTCATGTGCAATCAATGTAGGTTATTCTGAATATTTGGCATTTTAAGTTGCACAATTCGTAAAAATGGCAAGTTCCCCTACTGAAATAAAATGAGGTTTATAATACTGGGAGAAAAGGACATATTTGGCTTAATCGTGTTGCCATTTTCTAAAAAAGTCAGTCTCTTGTTGCTTTTTTGCCAAAAAAAGTTTTGTGAACCCATCGATTACATCTGCTTATTTGGGGTATCTCACACTTTTTTTTTTTTTTACCACCAAATGGCTTAGGGTTATTGATTTACGATTGACAATTACTTCTGTGAATTTATCTACCCACATTATAATCACAACAAGGGTTTTGCATCAATCGATTATGTACACAGCAGGCAAAACATGAGATTTTAACAGTGGCGGGCAAAAAAGGAACAAGAGCCAAACGCTCATTAACCAAAAAGAAGCTGCAGACTGAAGATGCTAAACAAAATAAAAGAAAGCGCATGATAAATCTCAGTATCATTATAAGCAACAGTTCCCAAGTGAAATTCAGGATCCTGTTAAAATAGGAATAGGAAGCCAGTTTAGACACACGACAACCAATATGGCTAGAAAAACTTCTGAACAACTCTGGAAATAACCTCCAAAAGATTACAGTGTAATTTTTTTTGCCATTCTGAGGCATGAAGTCCCCCCTCCCCAAAAGGTAGTGTAAGTCCTAAAATATTCTTACCTTAATTGGAAAAAAACAACACCAAAATATCCCACCCATCGAAAAAACCCACACCCCCATGTGTAGTATAGCCCCTTCACTTTGTACTGCAGCTTCTCAGAAGTCCATAGCAGTGTCCCCATTCATAGTCATTTTTTAAATATTCTGCTAATATTTGCTTAAATGGTATTACT